CTACACCCATCACCGCTAACGTCTTTATCAGCGGGACAGATGGATTGCAGGTGAGCATATTCTCCTGGTCATCATAGAGAAAAGAGGGGAGGAAAAAAAGAGAGAAGGAACGGGGAGGCAGAGAGAAAGACAGACAGGCACAGAGAAAGAACGTGAAATTGAGTGAGGAAAAAAAAATACAGAGACTGGCTGTCAGGCAGTTTGAGTGACAGGAGTGATAAGGTCCATCATGGTCTTGTTATGAGCAGCAGGGGGAAATAGGCCCAGTCAGACATGGCGTGGAATTAGCAGAGCCAGAGAGGAGAGGAGGCGAGACGAGGAGTGCAAGCGCAGAGGAAGAGAATGAAGGGAGGATCAGGATATTGGTGGACAGGGAGGAATGAAATAACAGGGAAGGAAAGAGACGTGAAGGGCAAAAGGTGCTCGAAGACAAGCATGTCAGCTTCTGCTCCGATACTAGCATCAACTGCTACAAAAGTTTAACAATATCCACAAAAGTTCCCTAGTACAGTGTGAGCAAAGCAATGTGATATCAAATTCAACAGAGCAGTAAACACAAGGATATAACACTAGCAGCGATTGGTAGATAACATTTATCAGGAGAAATATTCACCTTTGTTACATACTGTACATAATGACACAGCTACCAAGGGATTCCATATCATTTTTTCTTGTTTCCTCTCCTCATAAAAACAGGATTAGACCCTCGCTATAAAATTAATCAGGTCAGAGCCCAATCCCCTACAGAAGCACAATGTAATACAATTCCTAGTACTGTCGGGAAGGATACCTTAGCTTATGATTTTAAGGGATGTAAGATAGATTTCACTGAATTATCCATCCTTAAAAAGAACTTACTATGGGGAAAAGAAATGGCAGTTTGGCAGGCTGTTCAGTCAATTCTTAGATGCTTAATCAAAGGTTTGAAGCATTGTCTTTCAGCATTACATCAGTGATTATCAGAGCAGGTTGTATTGCAACATTTAAAGGTATATGAGATTTAAAACAATATGGCAGCTTCCATTGCCTTTATTATATAGTAGCAGTGCAAGAGTGACAGCAAAGTGGGAATGCTTTATCCCTACTGTAGTGTTCTAACTGACTATGATGGCAGTGATTTAATTGGTCCAATTGGTCTAATTGCCAGTTTATCCACTTTCTCAAAGGTTTTGCCAATGTTTAGGACCCCCCCCTGTTTTTTTAATTTTTTTTTTTCAAAAAAGCACTTTGTGGCACATCCAGTGACTTTTTTAGTCAGGCGTTTATGCAGCTTGCAACCTGGAGCACAGAAGTGCGACATTTGAGCTCCCCGCCCTGAGCGTAACTAGCTTCCTGTTTAATATTGTAAACAGACAGATGTCCATTTACACAACGCTGTGTGCTTGTTGATGGAAGAGAGAAAAAAATGGATGCTAACAATGCGTCCCCTAGCAAGACTGGCTCTTAAATGTCAGTCAGCTTATGTCCAGGAAAATGCCCATCCAGAAGCCCTGAAGCTCAAACAAACAGAAAGTAATGCACAACAGCTGCTGTATCATTGTAGTTTATATATCCTTACACAAAAAGGAGAATTAGAATTTAAGTGTGAATTTAGGATGCAAAGCCGTTAATGACGGCGTCCTTCAAAGATGTTGTCCTGCGTGGATGTTTTCATACTGCTATGGCTCTACGATACAAGGATAATAACACAAAAAATAACACAAAGAAAATGAGAAAGCAGGGCAATAGGAGCAACAACTAATACCTACCGTTCAGGAGATGATTATTATTCCACTTCAAATCAAACAACCGCTGCTTGTAATTCTTTCACATGAAGTATAACTTCAACAACTTCAATGCAGACACATGAATTAAGTAGGAAAGGGGAAAAGATTTCCTGCTGGCTGATCTGAGGATGTAAGCAGAAGTGGAGTGGTGGTCTGAGGCAAAGACTTCACAAACTATGAATAGCTGTCTCCGTATGCATAGAGCTGTGGTAGGTAGGTCTGAAGAAAAACAGAGGCACCCTATGTGTGGATTATGTTTGCCGAATTCAAACAAAATGTCAACTTATAAAACCCAGGTACACTGGATTTAATGAATAATTACAGGAAGAAAACACATCTCTTGAACATTCATTTCTTCTACTTCCTCTCTGTATCCTTCTATGTTGGACTCTTTCTACTCATCTTTTCACCCCTCTCTCTATCTTTCTCTGCTTGAGTTCTGCTCACAAGTTGTAAGATGGGCTTTTAAGTTTACATCTGGTCTGCAGGAGGTGGTGTCTTCAGAAAAGACTACTCAAGATTCTTCTGAAGGAAGGGATTTTGGAAAAGTTCTATGAAATGACTAGAGAATATTTAGTTTAATAATTCATACGATGAAAGTTTGAGAGTTTCCACTGACACAAACCCTGCACAAACACTCACAATACGATGGTGGTTATCTGAGAGGTCATAGATGATTCATGGGCATGTTGGAAGCGGTCAGGGAGAGTGGAGGTTAGACGATTTATACAGGGAGCTAAGCGCCTTCAAACACTTGTTTTTTAAAAGCTCCATTTCTCCGTGCCGTTAAACGGATCTCTTCCAGTGAGAAATGAGAACATTAACTGGGACGCGGACATGGTGCACTCTGCACGGCCCTGCCGAGCCCTCTGAGCTGTAACATTTCACATCTGAGCTGCGCTCCTTACAAGCTCCCCTGACACCCCAATGCATCATGGGAGGGCTGTAGGGGAAGTTTGGTTGAGGCAAAGCGTGATGTGTCTCAAAACCTGACAACAGCTGCGAGCGTTTCCATTAAGAACAACACAACTGAGTGTTACAACTGCACCTTAAGGCGCAGGTAGGGTCTTTTTCTACAGGACCTCATTCATTTTTTTTTCTGTTTTCTCACCTGCAGAGGTGAGAAGGGGGGTGAAAAGGGAAAAGAAAACAGCCATGGTAGCAGCTTTTGACAAATCCATCATGAGGTGGCACAAGGTGCGATTTATTGTGGGCTATTTTCTATTTTTTTGTAAATGTACATTTCATTTTATAGTGTGACTGGCAGGCACCGGTTTAGTTAGCATTCGACAAATGCCTTAAGGCATTGCTGACTAAACAAACCATCACTGAACCACAACACGTCTACTCCCACTCCTGCTCACAGATTCCCTTATCTTGCCTCTGCACCCATATCCCCCAGTTACACTGATGTGTTATTACGTGTCACATATGTTCTTTGCACACACACCTTGTGATCTATGCATTCTGTAGCAGCAGACAAGGACACAAATATATTTTAGATGAGAGAGCTAAAGGTCACACTGAGTTGGATGAGTCCTTGAGTGGGTGAAAACACACATGCACATGAAATGTGTGGGTGAGGGAATGTGTGAGGGCAATTGAGCGTGGTGCAGGTGACTCAACTCCAAAAAGGTTAGCTGTGTGGCTTCGCATCTGTCAAGCAGTCCCTGCATAAGCCATTACTACAGTATGAAGATTAAAGTCTGATTACATTAATAATATGCATTCATTCTAACCCTGTATGACTGTAAATTCTCAAATACCTTAATGGAAAAGAGAACCAGGCCTTTATTCATAATCAAAAGAGCTCTCCAGTGTTTCTCCTAGAATTTTTTTCGACAGCGAATAGTGACCCTTGTTCATGCGTGTTGGAGTAGCTTAAAACGTTTGTGGTTTGTGAAAGACTTAGGTGCACATCTTTGCTGGGGGGTTTAAGGGTTCGCCTCCAAGATAAGATGGTTTTGCTCTTCTCCTGACTGGCTTCAGTAAGAGTTTGACTACTATGGTTCACTGATCTGATTGGTTGAAGTTACATTAAGGTACTTTTTAAAAGATCCTGCCACTTTTCAAACAGTTTCCAATGACGACTCCCCAGATGGGTCTGTGTAACAAACTATCTGGTGCAGTCAGGTAATATGAAATATGCAATTTAACATCAGTTTGGACCATTATTCTTACCACATCTGTGTACAAACATTGGGAAAACGAGAGCAGATAATAAAATAACAACACCCAAAAGGCTTAAAGACAAAACTATTAAATAGAACTATTAGATTAGTTTTGAAGCTCTCCACATTGATTTTATATTCATTGTGCTGGGGTGCTGCACCTAAGCCTTATAATGGCAGAAAAAACCTTGTTAAAAAAAAATCATTATAGATTATTCAGGATTATTCTTGTTTGCCCTTGGTGTCTTAGTTGACTTAATTTACAGCTTTTGACATTAATATCAAAATATGAAATGCCACAACACAGAGAAAATCACTTAAACCTTTTACAGAAAATAAGTAAATAGTTTTAAAAAGAAAGTGACTCAGAACTGAGTTCCATTTTCTCATGATAAAATTCAATGACAGGCTAAATCCTGATAGTGAGCATTTCATTTTTATAGGCCTTTGGTAGAAGCGCTCCAGGGCTCTTCTGCAGGGGAATTCAAGGCAAATCAAGGAGTAACAAAAATAATCACTGGTCAATTATAATAGACATAGCAATAGAGCATTTTCATAAGGTACTGGGGGTTCCTGAAAGTGGCTTAACGCTGACTCAAATAATGACAAAGTGAATTAAAACAGTATTTCTGTTAAATATAGTAACTCAGAGCAGCAGATTGGTGAGTATGACATGACTGTGTTGTTGTAATGGTGGACAGTGGAAATGTACATTATTCTAAATATAGTATATAAGCCATTACTGTGCAGGTAACACGGCCCCACAATACCTGGTCCAACACATGGCTATTATTCTGGCTATTTTTTGAGGATGGGGAATTTATGGTAATTATTATCATATATCTCTGTTAGGGCAGTGATTGTAATGTAAGTATGCCACCAAGGAACAGGAACCATCCACTGTAATGTCAACCTGACCCTGACCTGTGACCTTCTTGGAGGGCTAAACAAACACAATTTTCTCACATAATGTCCGTAGAAGCTGCAGGCAAGTGACAAGGGGTTTAAAAGGAAAGTGCACCATTCAAAAGACGTAGAGAGGAAAAAACGTGATGCTTCTCACCAGCGGATGTGTGAACTCAGGGGCATGGTCGTTCTTGTCTGTGATGGTAATGGTAGCCGTGGCTGTTCCTGTTAGGCCCACCTCACTTCCTGCCATGTCCTTGGCCACAATCTCTAGCTCGTATGTTGTGGTTGGCAGTGTCTGTAAAATAATTAAAAACAGTGGTGCAGAGTTTAAAAGGAGAGATATAGTCATGTACACGGAGGATACAAGAAAATGTAAATTAAAAAGCATAGCGTGATGAATGGAGAGAAAGCAAGAATAGTGAAGAAAGGACTTTACCAAGAATGCTACCAAGAAGAAAGCAGGTAGACAGAAAAAGTAGAGTCCCTTTGATAGAATTAAAGACAAACTTCTGCATCGGGGGGACTAACACACAAGCACACACATCTTTAGAAAAGAAGTCAAAGTGTTACAGTGAAACATCCTCTGTGATTAGCAAAATCTGTGAATATCAGATAATCTATTTGAGAGGTGAATCATGGAAAAATCATTATTAGATGAATGATTAGCCATGTAAGTGATTAAATTAATCTACCTAAAGCAACAGCGAACACTTATCGCCATGTTATACATTACTGTAAGACTCTTTAACAAGGCTTAAAAGCTCGTATAATAGTCCACTAGAGGCTTGAACCTACCATTAAAATGACTGGATAACAGCTGAAAAAAATCCCAATAGTGTAAATATGCACCCTCATGCTCACATACCAGTGTTAAAAGCTCCAGTAAACACTCCACATCTCTAGGGGAAAGGTTAGAATCCACATTTTGAAATTCATACATGTAAGAACAGAGAGGGCGGTAAAAGAGAGAGAAAAAAGGGTCCCTAAAGCTATGCACTACAGGATCAAAGTATAAGCATACTATGTAAGGTTTGTGCTCATCCATTTTAAAAATCCCCAAGGACTCAGAGCTGGATTTTATACACATCTTCCACAATGCTTTGGGGTATAGAAGATCAAGGTTTCTATGCCCTGTCTGAAAATATACAAACTATTTTCCTCAGCATAATCTGTACAATCACATTAATCATATAGGGACTTTGAGATTTTGTGGCCTTTTAGAATCATCACACCTATTTTTAGATATTTTTGTTGTTGATTCGATTGTAGGAGATAAAAAAAAATTGTGCTCAGGATTAATTAAAGACAATTCTGAACCCATGCCATTTATGCTCACAGCACAAATGAAGTCTTATGATTCTACATTCCTATACAGGCCAGGGAGAGGGATCTGTCCTTGATTACAAAGTAGCTTTCCCAAAGCAAAAATCTCCAAATTAGATATGTAATTCATTTACTGGCCTGCCAGCATCTGTAATCTATATAACAATTGGAGAAACATAGCTCCATATACACGGAGAGGATGGCATTCATAATGATCACAGCAGCAATAATCATTTGTTGCCATAATTCATGCGTAATAGAAATGTTGACTCTGGTGTATAAATAACAGGAGGTGGGGGATGGTAAAGCCAACATTTATTTATCCGCTGCAGCGTTTCCTCTCTACTGGGGGTGTTAACTGTCACATGCTTAATAAACTTCATCCATCTGTCTCACTGAAAATGCTGCTGGAGCTCTCCCCTGCATTGTAGATTCACCTCTGAGTGCATGTATATACTCCTCTCATCGACCCCTGGTACAAAACACAAATACATACTCTGGAACACACATAGAAAAAAAAAAAAAAAAAAACCTGCTGCAATTTGCTATAAAAAACGACAAAACATCCAAAAATTTTATTTTATGTAACAGATAATCACAGGAATTCCTTCGCTTGTTTTAATTAAGCCCCTGTTTAACACACTACCTAAAATGCCTATAGGAGGGCATTTATGGGCCAGCTGATGGCCACTAAGGTCCCGCTCCAGCTGAGCCTCTTTAACAGTGTAGTTACACTGTAGACAACTGTTCAAGCTCCCTGTAAAAGTGCTTTGTTAGCGAGTGAAAGATTAATTTCAATTTCAGTTTTACAGCATTGCACAGTGGGATTAAGCAGTAGTAAAATAGTATTAGTGATGTACTATTTGTGATTTCATGTTTATTTTTCTTCTTTTCATTCATGGCAGCTCATGGTCGACAATAATAAAAGCCAGTTTATAACTGTTTCGAATATTAATCTCCTTTGAGTGCATTTACATTGCAGTTAACTGCTATACCCACTGTGTTTGCATCATTTTCTCTGCCTCATCATGTCCCTGATCTTTATACCCATAGACAGTCAACCTGATTATTGTCGATGATATTGTTTACTGACAAAGAGCCGTGACCCAATATCCCCTCGCGCTGTACACAAATCCTCTGCTCTACTCAGTGTCAAACTGAGCAGTGGAGGCAGTTGTCAGTATGTTCTACTTTTGCCTGCTCTCATCATAGATAGCGCTCTAATCAATCTAATCTGAGGCAGGCAGGAGGAGATCAAACGATCAATGGCTAGACACCTTGAAGCTGGTTTTAATTATCACATCAAGTAGAACTTAGACACAGTGCAATGCTATTCATTGAAACGACATATTGAGGTCAGGAGCAACATAACATATGGAAGACTTGGGGTCAAAATCTTAAGTATACAGACTAAATATTCATTTTAAAAACACTATGCTCAAGAGTGGACCTAAATGGAAAATAGGTTAGCGTCCTTTCATCATTCACACAGAACCCAGCATGTCAAATTAAATGTATCAATACATAAAATATCTTGAACACCAAATGAAGTAAAGACAGAAGGCAATTTGAATGCTTTTAACTTTGCTCTGTTTTTATTTACAACTTTATGTACCAGCGCAGTGGCTAGTGCCGCCTCCTGTCATAAACCCCATCCATTCAAGCAGCTGCTCTACAGGAGATTGTGGGAAGAGTAATACCATAAACAGGTGTTTCTATCAATAGTGTGTCACACATAGTGGGTGACAGGGGTGTCCCTCACAACCAGCTCCTGCTCGATCAAACACTGTGCAGGCAGATGGTGCTCGGTGGACCTGTGAGTTTATTAAACCCATGCACACAATCACACATGAATACACACACATGCTGACTCTAAAGCACACACACACACCTGCACACAGACATACACTTTAGCCCTCCAGCTGGAGAAGGGAAGGGCTCTGGGATACCTGCAGTCTCAGTGGTGTCTAAACACATTGAGCGTGGCCTCCTCTGGCGACTGACAACGTCTTAATGAGTATTTCCTGAGTCTCAACTCAATTATAAACTCCCTGGCAGTACCTGGCCAAGAAAAGATGTTCAAATTCACTCCGGGCGAGAGTTACAGCAAAAGGGAATTTTCCCTCCAGTTGTCAGAAAACTTCTACTGGCATACTGTTGACTGAAATACTCCTCTCAGTCAGCCCCTTCATTTTTCAGTTCCTTGTTACATAGTCTGGAAACACTTGATTAAACTTTTGTGAGCAGCAGTAGTGTTATAGTCAAGTAACATTTTAGGCATTTCTCTTGTGGGCTAGTACTGAATCAAATGAATGGTAGCATGAGCATTAGTGGTCAACCTATAGTAATACTCTCTTCTTGTATCTATATTCTGTCTTTCCATACTGTCGTTTTTTTAAGACTAGTAGAGTAGTCGAGCACGGGATCACGTCATAATCAGTGGTATTGTGATTGTGATCAAATTGTGTTATTATGTTATAAAATAGTTGACTGCAAATGAGGGGTTTAAAGCAAGTTGTAATGGAAATCTAATAAAATTACGTAAATGAGTTACTGAAGTGCTTGTTGTACATGCATGAACAGTTTTGTCAGATGTATTGCATAACAGAGCAGCACAGTAAAATGCATTAAACATCAGTTTGATTACTTTGTATGTGTTGCATATATTTGCCATACTGATTTACATATGGAAACAAGGTTAAGGGTCTAAGAACCTTTATCAGGCTGTACTTAGGCACAGCAGTGCTTTGAGTTAAATGCTAATGTCAGCATGCTCACAATGTCAACGCTAACATGCTGATGTTTAGCAAGTATAATGTTTACCATGTTCACCATCTAGTGTGTTAGCATATCCTAATTGGCACTACACACAAAAGTACAGCTTAGGCGGATGAGAATGTCATTTGTTCTAGAAACTGCATCATTAAAAATGGACAAAGTCTCTGTCACGTGATCCATAGGTCTCTGAAGAGCTGTTGTGAAGCGTGTGGTCAGCTCTGGCCGTTGTCGTCTTGGCAGCCCTGACTCCACCAGCTCCCGACTAATCTTTGAGGGTGGAGCTGAGGAGGGCCAAATGAAGTCTGGTTACTGAAAACCGCCGCCTGTGACGGCACCCAGCTCAAAGCAGCCATGCCCTTAATTATGCATAACTTAAAGCCTTAATACAAACCTAACTGAGTTAAATTATATACAATTCTAGCTGTACATTTTAATATGGGGCCTTATGGAGATTGACTTACTTCTGGAGCCAGTATCAAGTGGCTGTTCATGGAAGTTCAGGTTTTATGGAATTTGGTTATGTTTGACAAATTATAGTTTTTGAGATATTTTACTCAAAACCACAAATGCTAGAGAAAGAATCAAGAGATCACTAAACCATTGTATTTGATTTCTCTGGGGACCATGAATAACTGTATACAATTTCCATGACAATCCATGTAATAGTTGTTGAGATATTTCAGTCTGGACTATAGTAATGGACCAACCAACATGTCATGCATAACTAAAATCCTTCTTATTTATTCTTCCCTATTCTCTTAAAGTAGGACAAATGTGACCTTTGGTGAATTCTTGAAATATCAGAAGCCTTCAGAAGAATATTGGAGTGAAAGAAATCACCGTATCTACTTGAAGAACAGCCCTGCTTTCTTTTCAATGCACAGAATAATTTTCTTTGTAAAACATAAGTGAGAGAAAAACTAGGAAGCCACAAGTGATTCCACTGAGCGATTGTGTTTGTGAGAGCTGATGTGAGACAGAACAAAGAGCTAATGAAGTTGAGCGTACCAAATGATATGACAGGCCTTGTTTCAGAGACATCTGATCGGAGAATGACATTTCAGACCGTCACATTCTGCCTTGAAAGGATTTCATCAAAGCCCCTTGAGTAAGGGCTGATCCCCGGCACAAAGCAGAGAGAAAGGAGAGTAAGAGAGAGAGAGAGAGGGGAATGGAGAGGGATAAGTGGGGAAA